TGTTTGAAAATAGTTGTAAATAGCGTTGCTCTTTGCAAGAATCTCAGTGCCAAACTTTTACCTTACATTCGTTCCCATCCAGGAGAAATGCAACATTTTTGGGTGCCATTGATTAAGAGTTGAATGAAAACTCTCAAGACAACTGGTTTGGTCATTGGATGATAGCATCTTAACTGCACTGCAAAGTTTTGGATCAGATACAATTGCCTTCAGTTTGTCAAATGGCGCTGTACCTGTAAAGTATATATGGAAAAATGAGAAAGAAAATCTACCTGTTTTCCACAAACTAGTGTTATTGAAACAAAATGTCAACAAAAAGGAATGATGTATAATTACCTATTTTGATCCATTTTCTTCTTTCAGTAATTGGTTCATGGACACCATTTTTAAATAGGGGGGTCTTCGTGATTCCTGTGCTTATTTGCAACATGATTAGTAAATGATTTCCATTTTGCCAAAACAAGGTCTCCGAATCCAACTTGAGTTGAGGTTGCACACCAGTAAAGGTGATTTCGAATCCCTTTCATCCACAGAAGAAGTATCTCACATCCCTTCTCTTTCCCGCTACTTCTTACCCTTTTCATAATTGATTTCACCACATGCCATAAGTCGAAATAATGTTTTGTTTGAGGCTGGTTCTCACGTATCCATTTTGTGATTCCGTAGTGTCTATCCGATATAAATATTGGTACATATATACAAAAAGATGATAAAAAACTAAACGATCTCTTTACTCCTTCCAGTTCCATTTGATTGCTACCCTTTGTTTCATTTGCCTTTAGGAAGGAAGAAAAAACACTTGTAAGATTGGCACTAAAGAGATGATTTCAAATGGGCTCAGGGGGATAGAACTCAAGGAAATCATTAATTCATCATAATTTTAATTGATTTTCAGGCATTAACTTAGCATGTAAGTGTTAAGTTTTCTAAATTTTGATAGATTTATCAAGAGAAAAGAACTGGAATTGTGGTAATGTGCAAAGCTCATCCTGTCAGAACCCATAGAGCCCACCTTGATAATTTTTAGAATTGTCCCCTGACACATAAATAAGTAAAGTTTCATATTTTTCTGTAGTTTTATTTCAACAGTTGAATAAAATAGATTTTACTGTATAAATAATTTATATCATTTTTGATAAAATATGGAACCTTACCTGAACAATTTCAAAATGAACAATTTTCATCAATGTACAGCAAAGCATGGTATAGGCACCATATTTCGCACTATGGCCCATCGAGTCGAATCGACCATCACCACACCATACCAGATCCTCTCTATTGGCAAGCTCACTCACCAGTTTTGAACGATAGACTTCCCAATGTCTTAGAACAGATGGAAAAAGGAACTTCTGTTGATGATAGTAGTAGGCTCTAGCCGTATATGCTGATAATCCCATGTGCCGAAAAACCAGAAGTATCTTGCTTATGGAGGCACCTGCCATAAGGCTTCCAAAACTTAGCAACAAATTGCCTGCTGGAAAACCGCCCTTCATCGTTGGTTGGGACTTCCAGGTGAATGCATTTTCTCCACATGCCGTACAATCCTGCCTTACTGTCACCATGGTTCCATTCTTTTTCATTGATACAGATGGATGATCAGCTCTACATCGGAAACAGAACATACTAAACAGGTTGAATAGCAGCGAGTAAAATAAAATGAACTTTGGTTCACTCCCGACAGTGTAGGTTGCATCATTGCTGGAAAGTAAAATAGCATTTGTCAGATGGGTGTGAAATTTCAGCAGGAGTAAATAACTTTTCTTTTACTAATATACTATTTCTTTCCAAAAAAGTTATTTTACTTGTTTTAATAAATGACATATGATAAATGAATGAATACACTATAAAGAGGGATCAATATTACACATATATTCCTTCCGTATGATTTTCTTTTGTTTACAAGTTCAACAAGTTGTCAAATTTCCCCAATCGAATATAACAGTATGGTGGAGAATTCTGTTCATACCTTTTCTGTCATATAATTTCACTTTCAATTAAAAATTTGATTATACAATGATGTCATCATGATAGTTTTACCTAATGTTCCCTCTTGTTTCATTGGTTACTTTTTCATCATCATCATTTTCATCACTGTCTATTTCTTCCTCATTTACAAATTCTTCGTCGCTGTCTTCAGATTCATCTTCAGCTCCTACTGGATTCCACTCATCATCATTTTCAGCGAAACTTTTGCAGGAATCAGAATCACTGTCTGTCTCTTCAACGTCCATGTTATTTACGAGCTTAGTTGGCTGTCCTTGTTTAGACTCTCTGAATTTCTTAACTTTGCGTTTTAGGTAATTGATTGCCTACAAACAAAGCGTAAATGAGAATGGGTTACAAAAATAAATTTATATGGAAATGAGATGGAATTGAAATTTGGCATATCGGCAAATATTATTATGTACCGTGAACTTACATTCTTTTGCCTTGTTAATTTCCTTTTCTGTTTTATTATTTTCAGATTTTGGCGATTCACTCTTCGGTTCAAATTTTTCAATCTTGATGCTTTCACCTTGCAATCTTGACAGGATAGACTTGACACATCTACAAATGGAGTTGCTTCCATGCTGGTTTCTGTAAAGACTGTCTGCGATTTATCAGTTTTAGAAGATGTTGCTTCGTCGAATAATGGCTCTTCAAATAGGTCCGTTTGTGTATCCGCTACAGAAACTACATTCATTGCATCTCTTACACCCTGAAAAACAGAATGTGAATTTGAGCTACAACATTTATGGAATCCAGGGGCGTTGCCAAGGGGGTTCGGTAGGTGTGGTACCCCCTCCCCCCCCCAACACTGAGGATTTTTGCCGGAAAAAGCAATTTTGTACTCTTCCTGTAACCTTTTTGCAACAATTGTAACTTATTCACATTTCTGTAGTAGTTGAACTTTCAAAGTATGGCATTAAAGTATGAACTTTGAAACAGAAAAACAACATATAAAGGTATTTATTTTTTTACCACAACCTTAATGAGTGAGATACGCCCTTTTTGTTGGCAAAAGTTACTTCTTTAACCCTCCAAAAAAAATTTTTGGCTCCGCCCCGGATGCAATCGATAAAATTTGATAAATGTTTTATATGCACACATATATTTTGTAAAGCTTCAAATTGGAAGGGCCCGACTTTTGTAGAAGATACAAAATATTGTTTTTTTAATTGCAATGCCAACATTCTAAAAAAAGTCGTCACAATTAACACCAATAGTTTGTTATGAAAACTTTTATCACGGGGCGATTTTGATAAAACCAATTGTTTTGTGTAAACGGACAAGAAGTGGCGAGTTCTGTTAACTTTTTATTCTGTTGTACCCAATCTACTAATTTTAAGGGGGAAGGTTTAAACGCGAGCTCCACGTTTAAACCAAGATGTATACGTTTGAAAGGGGCCTCAACAAACAGAGATATATATTGTAGTTGACCTTGTCATTTTATGTATCGTAACTTTTGCTTTATATAAACGTTAATTAAAGGAATATATTGAAAAATGAAGTAGACAAAGAAAATGAAATCTTACCTTTCTTCTTTCCCGTTTAGACTGAGACGTTGAATTTCCTTCATTTCCGGTTGAAGCCACGTATACTGTCGGAACAGCATCTCGCTGTAAAAACCTTTTTGTTTTTGAAGTGTCGTACCCCTCTAGTAGACTAGCTACGCTCCTTGTGTAGCAACCTGGTTCAAAATGATCTGAGCAGAGGACGGGGTTTGAAAATTCTCTTGGGTCAAAATTGGTCCTACGCTTTCTAACAAATTTAGTCCACTGCCGGCGTACAGCAGGGTCCTTTGGAAAACGATGGATGCTTATATCCTTAGTATAACTGTCATTACAACAGCTTTTATTGTCTAAAGTGCCTGCAACACATCGTAGACCAACACGAACCTTAGTTTTGTTACCTGACTCCATAGCTAATCTAAAGTTTCAGTACGTAGAAACGGGATGTAAATATTGCGAAACACCGCACGTGTCCATAACTTTACGTCACAACATTCAAAACGAGACTAGTTAAACAGCGAGCGGTCGGTGCCACTTTTTCGTTGAAAAACTGAAGTCAGTATCGCCCTCGTAGTTTAGCCGAAAATTCTCTAAATACATTGAACTTTTGGATTATAAGTTATTTTGGATTTCCATGTGGATAATTTATTCTGGGGATTCAGGATTTAACAAAAAAAATTGGTTTCATTTCCTCTTTAAGACATCTGCTGATTTTACATGGGTATGGGGTCTTTCATAGCGCTTTCAGATAATTCACTGTACATCAAATAAATGACGTCATAAAATTTTTGATGATGTCATAGCTCCAAATGCCGATATCAGCAAAGATCTTTTTAAGCTAATTGCAAAAACGAAGTTTCATTAGATTATTTCATTTCCATCATCACTTTGAATGTTGAAATTTTTATGAAAATTGCGTCATCATTCATGTGATAACAAGGAATTTTCAAAAAGGTACTGGACGGATTTTGAAAGTCCATAGCTTAATCTATTAGATTACGTCAAGAAAACAAAGGTTAGCAAGTTTGTTAGATTGTTATACCATGTGCCCTGTCTATCTAGATTATCTAGATTACAGAATATCTAGATTGCTTTGTGCTGACTTTAAATTCCCTGGCTCCAAACATAGAAAGATAGCATTTGTTACACAGGCATGAATTGCTTGAGTAGTCTCCGCTAGCGTCAGTTTCCTTTCTGTAGTCTCTCTTGGTATTGTGTGCATAAACACCCGGAGGAGAGCCAATTCAAGCTGAAGTGCGAACCCTGGCACTCATAGGATTTTGATCAACAGAATCTTTTGTTTTTTCATATCTTTTGAAAATGCAACACCCTTGTTACTTTGCATCTTCCATTTCTCAATTAACTTGATGAACTGAGCTTCAATTGCACTAGACTTGGCAGAATCAATGATGTTTTTTCTTTGATTCTTTATCTATGTAGCCAAAATGAAGCTGATGATATCGTTTTTGATGGTACCTTTAATGTCCTGTTCAGCCAGTTTAGACTCAATGTTATTGCGCATGTCACAAACCAAGTGGTAAACAGCTCCAAAAACTGATTGCAAAGCTTTGTGTACATTCACTTCTCATCAGTACCAAAACATTGTAGATGCAAAAAATCTTCTGGGAACCAGAAAATGCTAGATAGCAATTGAAAATATGAATCAAAGCCTTTTTTGCAATGTAGAAGCACTGGTCAAAACATGACAGGGTGCACACATCTGTTGATATGCAACATGAGTTGTCTGTATGTAGACACAGTCAAATAAAAATTCCCAATGTCATAAGTCGTTTTTTTCCCATTAATAACAAAATTATGTTTAAACAAAAATTTCCAGTTCTAATTTCTGGTCTTCTCAATCCTGTTGAAATTTTGCACCTGGACTACTTTTTCCGCAAACTATTCCAGGTAGTGATGAATCTTTCTGTTAGAAAAATTGCTTTGAAAGTTTAATTGTACTAGTTTCAATTAATCTCAGCGTGTGTTGTGAAATTCTCTTTGACCTATGCTGAATAACTTAGCAGTTCCAACATCATCCCATTTAAATATTTGAATACTTGAATCATATCTCCACTTTAGCGACAAAATGCTTAAGTTGGTAAATTGACAGCCTTAAAGAATGCATGTCATCCATCAGCCTTTGCAGCCCAAACAAGCGCGGCTCCTGTTTGCATTTCTCAATCATTTCGCACCAAAGCTGTGCAGCCTCAATTTACTACTAAGATTAGCACCGTGTGTGTGAAGAATGAAGCAAAGAATTAATATTTATGGATCACCCATCGTTGGGTCGTCAATTTCAGAGGAGATCAGCAGCTCTCAAACATTTTCAAATAGTGGGCTATCAGCGACTGTGCCCGATCTTGCTGAACTTAGGATGTCAAGCATCTATGGTACGTAAACTTTTGTATCTTTTACTTTTATGTTTGATATATCAACACTTTCCCTTTGCATTTCAACAATTATATTCACAGAACAATAAAACTCAAAAGGGTAACACTTGGCCAGTCACGATTTTCTTCAAATTTTTCATCGTGTAATATTGAAATTCACGCAGGTTTTATCAGATCTATAAATTGATGTGATATGGCAAAATAGCCTACCTTTGTTATATGCATAATACTATTATTTTCTCCAAGATAACCTGTGTCTGTGCCACCACGTGTTACCACAAAAGTGGCAAAAAGGAAGGATGCCCATGCAAGGATGCATCAAAGCTTTGCAATGAGAAATACTTTTGCAGAGTGAAGAGGAAGTGAAATATTGTAAAAAGCAGAGGATGGCCAATAAATGATGCAACGTAAATCGGTTAAATCTTTCCTTCTTTTCTAAAATCGTCCCGGCAGCTACATAACTTGCATACTAACAACAGCATAATAATTAACGCGTGACATCGGCATAATCTTTCTCAAGAACTATCTCAGAGGTCTCTCAAAACTGATATATCTCCTATAAATATCTCAAAACGACTAAGAGCAAAACGAAGGCGACAAGATCTTTCACAAGCATCTTGCCCATAAAACGGTGCATGCCTAAACTGCTTTCTCTTGCTGCTACTTTTCCATAATTCTTACTGCCTAGGACGGGGTACGGGGCTCCTATATATACTGAACTAAAAACAATAGACATACGTAAATGAAACGGTAAAAAGAATTAATCTACTAAGTGACGAGCGGGGTAGGGTAGCGTGATATCCTTAAATACTGGGTTGCTATGGCGATCTACTTAAAATGCTGATAATTGACGTAGGTATGAAGCTACTGATAATAATACAAAGATTACCCTAATACACGTGATAGGAAAATGCGGAACAAGCAAGGAAAGTTACAGATAAACAAGAGTGATTAGGTAAGGAAAATCAAACGAATGGACTAGAGAAAAAGGCCTAAAATTAGCAGTCTCACAATGTCATTGAGTGGTGTAAACATGGAAAGGTAAACTTATGTCCTGTCCACATCATATCTTTAACATGCCCCCTTAGTAACCCTGGTTTTAGCATTTGGTCTAGACAAGAAAACTAGTAGGCAAAATACTGGACACTGACGAAGCCCTGCATGCAAGTCAAAATATTAGTATTCGTTTAATTTAATTTAAGTTATCTCGTAAAAATTGGATTCCCATCGCCGTTTTGCTTTGTTTCTGAATTTTTTCCTCATAAAGATACTGGACCCTATGCCATTTTGTCTTATTTGATTCTATTAGACCAACCAAAAATTAGTTGAGAATAAAAAGTAGAGAAAGGTAAGAAATTGTTTGCAAATCAACAAGCAAGGAAAGTTACAGATAAACAAGAGTGATTAGGTGAGGAAAATCAAACGAATGCACTAGAGAGAAAGGCCTGAAATTAGCAGTCTTACAATGTCATTAAGTGTTGTAAAAATGGAAAGGTAAACTTATGTCCTGTCCACATCATATCTTTAACATGCCCCCTTAGTAACCCTGGTTTTAGCATTTGGTCTAGACAAGAAAACTAGTAGGCAAAATACTGGACACTGATGAAGCCCTGCATGCAAGTCAAAATATTAGTATTCGTTTAATTTAATTTAAGTTATCTCGTAAAAATTGGATTCCCATCGCCGTTTTGCTTTGATTCTGAATTTTATCCTCATAAATGTAATGTTTTGTTCAGCGAAAGGACGCTAGGACCCAGACCCTAGATATATTGTTATGTTTAGACAGCTCTAAAAAGTTACGTTCGAAGCACGCCGTAGTTTAAATCATCTACAATCTGCCTATTAGGCCGCAGCAAACATAAATATAACATTGGCGACGAGGAAAAGTAATGTAACATTTACAGTGATCGGTAAATCATGGCTTCAGTTAACATCGTTCCAAGCATGCCGCCCTTCGACCGAGATGCAGAGATTGGTGCTTCGGTAGGCCCGAGATGGAAAGTGTGGCTGCAAGATTTTGAAACATTTCTAGTAGCAAATGATATCACTGACAATAAACGTAAACGAGCTCTACTCCTCTATCAAGCTGGCTCAAGAGTGAGGGAAATATTTCGCCAATTATCCGATACAGGCGCTGCTGATGCATACCAAACTGCCGTAACCAAACTCACTGCCTACTTCGAGCCCCAAACGAACAGGCTTTATGAAGTGTACAAATTTAGGCAGGCCGTACAACAACCAAATGAGACGTTGGATCAATTTCACGTTCAACTTCGTCATTTGGCACAAACTTGTGAGTTTTCTGATTCTTCACTTGATTTTGAAATACAGCTCCAAATCGTAATCAGAGGCAAATCCACAAGTTTGCGTAAACAAGCTCTCAAAGATCCTAAATACACCCTTAAAGATATGTTACTAGACGGCCGCAGAGCGGAAATTCAAACGGCAGATATCGAGGGTAAACAGTCAAGGGACAATTTACAAGCTATCAAACAGAAAAAGAGTTTCAGTAAACAACAAACTTCAGCACGAAAATGTAGAAATTGTGGTGGCAATTATCCACACAAATCGAAGCCATGCCCTGCAAAAGGTCAAAACTGTCATCGCTGCGGGAAGCAAAATCGCTAAGTTCTGTCTGAGCAAACAAGACACCCGCCAGTCTTCATTTACCACGTCTAAATCGAAAATTAACCCGGTGTGCAAGTCAACGGATTCCGACAGCGAATCCAGCTCATCAAACTATTGTTATGCAATAGGGGGTTCAAGTCAAAAACCCTTAGAAACCCGGCTTAAAATCAAAGGACAACGCATCTCCTTCCTAGTGGACACTGGTGCGTCTATCAATATCATTGATAATGCAACTTTTAGTCAACTCAAGGGTATTTCATTACAACCCACAAACATAAAAGCCTATGCCTACAACTCGCAAACGCCCGTGAAAATGAAGGGCAAATTTGAATCATTGGTGGAAACAAAGAAACGTTATGCCATCGCAAAGTTCTATGTCACGGAAGACAATGGAGGCTGTTTACTTAACGCATCAACGGCCCAAGACCTTGGCTTAATTAGCTTGCATTTAAACCAAGTTCACTCACCAACTGGAAACATACAAAATAAAGATCTGAATGATATCGTTAATCAATATCCAGATGTCTTCAAAGGCCTTGGTAAAATGAAAGGAAAACAAATTGACTTAGTAATCGATTCAAAAGTCAAACCAATCGCACAAAAGTGCAGGAGGAGAATTCCCTTTCATCTTCGAAAGAAAGTGGAGAGCGAGATTTCCAAACTATTAGATCAGGTCATAATTGAGCGCGTTCCGGAGAATGAACAAACTGATTGGGTTTCTCCTATTGTTTGCGTACCAAAGAAAAATGGGGATATCAGAATATGCATTGATATGAGAGCTGCAAGCACAGCAGTTAAAAGAGTTTGTCATCCTATTCCAACTGTGAAGGATATTTCTATCGATCTCAATGGTGCTACAGTGTTTTCAAAACTTGACTTGGCGCAAGCTTACCACCAGCTTGAACTTTGTCCAAGTAGTCGTCAGATAACTACTTTTACAACTCATATTGGTTTATTTCGATGCAAAAGACTGAATTTTGGAACTTCAAGTGCGAGTGAAATTTTTCAGCACACATTACAGCTTGCCCTTCAAGGACTTAATGGCGTCAAAAACATCGCCGATGACATCATAATTTTTGGAAAAGATGTGAACGAACACAATGAAAACCTAAATGCATGTTTAAGACGATTGAAAGAACTTAACCTTACCTTGAACTTCGAAAAGTGTAAATTTTTAAAAGAGAATCTTGAATTTTTTGGATTTATCTTTTCTAAAGAAGGAAAGCGCCCTGACCCGAAGAAAATAGCAGCGTTTGTAAATGCAGCCACGCTCACTACTTCAACAGAGGTACGCAGTCTATTGGGTATGTCAAACTATTGCTCTCAATTTATACCCGATTATGCAACGGTTACAGAGCCATTACGCAATCTAACAAAGAAAAACGCTCAGTTTAATTGGACAGAACGTTGTGAAGAGGCTTTCAACACGTTAAAAGATCTTCTCACGTCGAGGCCTGTCGTCAGCTACTTTGACATCGAAAAGGAAACTACAGTTAGTCCAGTCGGACTATCAGCCATTTTGTGGCAACGAAAGCCTGGAAGTGCGCAAGAAAATATTGTTGCTTTTGCAAGTAGATCATTATCACCCGTCGAGCTACGCTACTCGCAAACAGAAAAGGAGGCACTCGCCATAGTATGGGGGATTGAACACTATCATTTATATCTATTTGGTTCCAAATTCATGTTAGTTACCGACCATAAACCGTTGGAAATTATCTATGCAAACCCTTGCTCCAAACCACCAGCGCGTATCGAACGCTGGATGCTGCGCTTACAACAAAACGACTTTGAAGTTGTGTATAAATCAGGGATTGGAAACCCTGCCGATTATCTCTCACGTCATCCAACTTCAGCTGAATACAAGAAGCAAAATATAGCTGATGAATACATCAATTTCGTCACCCAAGAAGCTGTTTTTCCTGCTCTTTCTTTGGGTGAAATCAAGGCTGCCACTGATAAAGATACAACATTGCGGTGTCTACGAGCAGCTATCAGGAGTAATTGTTGGAACGGTGATATCTTACAACCCTTTCGCGCAATAAAACATGAGATATCTGTTGATCTCACCAACAATATTCTGCTGAGGGGAACTAGAATCATTATACCTGAGTCACTTCAAAGACACGTCATCAAAATCGCCCATGAAGGACATCAAGGTACAGCTAAAACCAAAGCACTTCTTCGCGAGTACGTGTGGTTCCCTAAGCTCGAAAACTTAGTTAATGAAGAGATAGCCGACTGTTTAGCATGCCAAGCTACAGGTGCTCCAAATGCACAAGAACCACTCAAGTCACCACCTTTGCCTGAAAGACCATGGCAAGAACTTAAAGTTGACTTTTATGGACCATTGCCAACAGGACAGTATCTGTTTGTCGTTATTGATACATATTCGCGATTTCCAGAGGTCGATATTGTTCCATCAACATCAGCAAGTGCAATCATTCCAAAGCTGGATGCTATTTTTGCACGTCATGGTATGCCTGATAAATTGAAGTCTGATAACGGCCCACCATTTTTCGGAAATGAATTTCACCGGTAAATGAAAGCATTAGGTATACGTCACACAACATCTACGCCTTTATGGCCACAAGAAAACTCTGAAGTGGAATCTTTCATGAAACCCCTTGGAAAGTCGATTTGCACCGCCATTCTTGAAAAACGACAATGGCAACAAGAGCTTCACAAATTCCTTTTGAATTACAGAATCACACCACATACCACAACAAAAGTTCCGCCAGCACAGTTATTGTACAATCGACCTATTAAAGGAAAGCTGCCCATGCTACCAAGAAAGCACAAGAACATAAACAGACATCGTGAAGCGAGAGAGAATGATCAGCTAAGAAAGGAAAATGCGATGAACTGTGCTAATAAACGCAGAAACACGAAAGAATGCAATATTAAAGTAGGTGACCTGGTTATCTGTATGCAAAAGAAAACGAACAAGTTCTCATCTAGATTTAACGTGCAACCCTACAAAGTCGTTCGTGTTCATGGATCAAAGGTTGTTGCTAGACACGGAGATCATTTCATTTCCCGTAGCTCTTCATTCTTCAAAAAGGTCCAACAAAGACTTGACGGTAACATTGCTGCTGCTGCTGATGATGATGATAATGTCGAATATCACAAAAGAGCCACAAAAGAAATTCCTGTTCGTCGATCTTCACGCAGTCGTATACAGACACAGTTTTATGGAGATCCAATAAACTCCCGATTAATATGTTGAAGGATTTTGTTTTAATTTTTTTATTAAGAAAAGAGTAAATGTAATGTTTTGTTCAGCGAAAGGACGCTAGGACCCAGACCCTAGATATATTGTTATGTTTAGACAGTTCTAAAAAGTTACGTTCGAAGCACGCCGTAGTTTAAATCATCTACAATCTGCCTATTAGGCCGCAGTAAATATAAATATAACAATAAAGATACTGGACCCTATGCCATTTTGCCTTATTTGATTCTATCAGACCAACCAAAAATTAGTTGAAAATAAAAAATAGGGAAAGGTAAGAAATTGTTTGCAAATCAATTGAAAATACATGTCTGAGGGTGGAGGTTCCTCATAACCATGGAAACAACTTTTCAATTATGTATACTAGAAAAAGATGATGTTTATTCCAGTGTTTTTTCAATGTGTTTTTTGTTAGCAGCCAAGTCATGGAAATCAAATTGTGATGCAACCAGGTGTTTCATCTGCAACCAAAGCAGATGCCTTCTTAACTATGGAACAAGAAATAGAACAGATAGATAAGGCACGTAAGCAGGATAGGGTCACATTACTGGATAAGGCTAATGGGAAACAAGATCACAATGGGAGTGGGCGGGTTCCATTGGTTACCTCTTACCATCCAGCCTTGAATAATTTGGGCAAGGTGGCCGGGAGACTCCATTCTATGCTGACGATATCGGAAGAGCATAGGAAGGTGTTTCCTCAGCCACCTTTGATATCATTTAAACGGTGTTAGAACCTTTAAGATTTACTAGTTAGGGCGAAACTTTATAATGAGGGGGCAGGGACCACTCATAATAGGGGTTGTACTCCATGTGGCAAGTCTCGATGTCAAGTGTGTAATGTTATGTGTGACACTGATACTTTTACTTCCCATATAACTGATAAAGAATATAAGATAAATTTTATGTTTAACTGTGATTCGTCCAATGTTGTGTATCTTATGGAATGTAAAGTATGTGGTATACAGTATTTGGGTAGCACTTGCATGCCGTTTAGGCTTAGGTTTAATAACTACAAGGCGTGCAATCGTAAGTTTATCGGGGGCTCTTCAGGTATACCTCAGGCTGATTTTTTCCGGCATTTTGCAGGGAAGGATCATCATGGGTTTCTCGAAGATATTAAAGTAACTATTATAGATAGACTTAATGGGAATGGTAGGATACGTGAAAGTTTCTGGCAGTATAAGTTAGAAACTTTCGCGCCCCGGGGCCTCAATATTAGGTTAGTTGAAACATCTCTTGCATTATTTTCTTCTTTTCACAGCTGTTTATTATTTCCACATAATATTATTTTCTAATCCTCATGGTAGGGACAGACATCATTCACCCTTTATCGTTTTTGTGCATTCCTGGGTAGTTAACCATCTGCCTTCATGCTTCTCTTTTGTTCTTTTATCTATTGTATTTATTCCGCTTTTCTCACCTTCAGCTGGGCCTAGAAAGTTTACTTGTGTCGTATAATTAGCCATTATTGTCCTTGCTTGTAAAATGTGTTCTTTTGTCCTATTGTTTTGTATTCCTTATTTTACGCTCCAAATGTAAATGAAGGTTATTCTGAAGAAGCATATTGCGTAACGTTAATCAAGTTGTTTTTTCACTGATCATCTATTTAAAAATTTTTTAAAAACATTACAGTCTAGAGCTTTTGTATACATATATATTTAGTTTGCTTAGAATAGGTATAGTAGGATGTTACATTATGAAGCATGTTATTTTGATTATTCGGACATTCACGTCACTTATGAAATTGGAACATCATCAAAGTTTTCTGGAGTTTTGCCGCTTTCATGTTTCGGTTCCTGCTGGATTGTGATTGAAGAAAGCTTGTTCATACCCTGGCGAGAAGAAAGACAAATTCGAGGATTCTTGGAAAGGCATTTTAAGAGTAGCAGAGAGACAACTTCTTTCTTTGATGCTGCTCAAGTATAGAGACGACATATTTATTGCGGAAAAGATGGCTTATGATCAAATGGCGGGTTTTCGGGAGCACTTGACCAGAGAGGAGATGGAACATGTCAAGCAACAGTTGGGAGAGGTTTATGATTTGTTGGGGGAGAGGAGACTTCGTAAGGCTTTAAAGATTCCTGGGGCTGATCGACAAAACTCTGAAGATTGGAAATGGCTACTGACTCAGACACACATCAATAAGGAGTTGTTTAGCGAAGAAGGTCTGCGTCCAGGAGAACGTCCAGCAGAAACAGTGAAATCGGAGAAGCATGAGTGTCAATCAGCTTTTATGGAATGCAATGGATCCACTGGCAGAGTAACTGGGCGGTTTGTCAGTGGAAATGTGCTGAATCTGTCACATCGGGTCCTTTCGGAAGGGGAAGTAAGTCTTCTTTCAAAGGGTTTGAAATTTTCACCGACACCAACTGACCTAAACAAGGCGCAGCTCAAGGTGGATTTGGACATCTTTAAGAGAAGGATGCGTCTACGTTGGTTTTTTAGGGACACTGACTCGAACAATTTGGATAAGAATAGCCTTAAATTTAAATGTAAGTCCAGCTGGAGTCCTTCTAATACTGATCCTTTGCTAGAATCCTATCTTGCTCAATTCGAAAAGGAGGTGCTGTCTGTCCAGGCGGAGGGTAAGTATCACAGTAACCTTTCCTCTTCTGAACTTACTGCGTTAAATAATCTTAACTGGATAGGAACATAGTTATCAAAGAAGCAGACAAGGGTTCAGCGGTTGTAGTTTGGGACAGGGGGGGTTACTTAGAAGAGGCTAACCGGCAATTAGGTGATAGGCAAGTTTACGAGGAGATTGAGGTGGACCCCACAATAGAATTGGGTAAGGCCGTTAACAATAGGATTAACGAGTTAGAATGGAGGATCCCGGGTAAAAGGAAGTGACTGATTTTCTTAAAGTTAATGAGGGGAAACTAGGTAGGTTATATTTGTTACCTAAGATTAATAAAGGATTAAGTGGGGTTAAGGGTCGACCAGTCATTTCCAATTCTGGCACCACCGTTACAGAAAATATATCGGAATATCTAGATGACCACCTCAATCCACTGGTTAGCCTCGGTAGGTCTTACATTAAGGATACTAATCATTTCTTGTCTAAGTTAGGTGAAATAGGTAGGATACCAGAGGGGGCTATACTGTGCACAGTTGATGTTGTGGGACTCTATCCTAGCGTTCCACATGGGGAGGGTCTGGAAGCCATCAGGGAAGCGCTGGATAGAAGGGAAAACCCAAACGTGGCTACTGATACCCTAGTGGGATTGGCATCTCTGGTTCTCGAAAGCAACTACTTTGAATTTTATGATAGTTTTTATAGACAGAAGTTAGGCACCACTATAGGAACTAAGTTCGCTCCAGCTTATGCAAACCTCTTTATGACTGGGTTGGAAGAAAGATTGTTGAGGGAATCAGTGGACACACCAATTGTCTGGATGAGATTCATCGATGATGTTTTATTTATCTGGACACATGGCGAGGAGAAGCTTGAGACCTTCATCTACTTTCTTAACAGTAGCCACGATACCATTAAGTTTACAGGGGAGCACTCCAGGGAGAGTATAATTTTTCTGGACGTTAAGGTTAGTGTAAGCAACCGGTTTTTAGTATAATTTCATCAAATTAAGCATAAAATCATTTGAATATGGTCTTATTAAGCGACCAATACAGCAAATCCATTTTCCTTGAAGGACAAAATTTTCATGGGTTAATCATAGAATTTCTCCTATTTTGTCAGAATCAAATTTTTAAGTTTTCCAATCATACACTCTTAGCCCTCGTCAACTTATAGGGCGCTTATAAATATTTTCTAAGGCCATTCTTAAAGCTGTAATGCTCATTTTGAATCCAACGTGAATATCTTTCTCGTAGCATTTCGTTCACTTCTTGTTGACTTTTGATGCTGTTTTAAGATATAATTTGGGGCCACCTTTAAAGTTCCTCTGTTAATTTTGAATCAAACATTAAAGTTTTCCAACAATAAATTCCTGTTAGCCGTTATTGGTCCATGGTGCTCGTTTAGATATATATTATCTAAAAATTTCTTAAGAATCAAAATTCCTAAATAATTATGTTGATTCATAAAAGAATAAATGACTCCTCTTCTAAACTCCAAAGAGTTATAGAGTTATTACGCAGTTTTATACATTTGAGGTCCACATATCACATCTTCGTCACAATTAGCTTTTGAAACACTGCAGGAACAAAGCAGTAAAGAAATAGAAAGATAAAAAACAGCTAAAGTTTCGTGCATCAGAAAGGAATCTTACTCTAACAAGAAATTAACAAAATACAATTTACGGACAACATCTAATCTATATAACTTTAGTCCATTTCTCCACAGTCATGGTTTTTTCTTGTTTCTTTGTTCGATTTAACGCCAGCATAAATGCCATAAATTTCGTTTAGAAGGTCCGAGAATCACGTCTGCGTCATAAATTTTGCTTGAAACGATCTTTGTTCTAGATGAAGAACAAAACGAATAATGAAGATGTTATTCCATGGTTAATGAAAGCACGTTTTAAAGAAATCGATATACAGCCAATCCATATTCTTTTAAGCACAAAACTATGCAAGAGGTAAAAAATTCAGAGAAACATGTTTGTAGCGGGTCTAGCGACTCCTTTTAGCAACCGGTTTTTAGTGTAATTTGACCCAAATAAGCACAAAGTCGATTGAAAAGGTTTCTAGAATGATTCATTTACAATTCCGAAATTGATGCAGGCACAATCTACCGTAACAATTCAGCTTCCTTTCAGTACAAAACCTCAAAAAGAGGGAGAAATTCGCCATTCGTGGCGGGGTCTAGCAGTAAGCGACCAGTTTTTAGTGTAATTTCATCAAATTAAGCATAAAAACATTTGAAATTGTTCTTGTTAAGCGAGCAATACAGCAAATCCATTTTCCTTGAAGGAAAAAAACTACAAAGAGGTAAAATATTAAGAGAAACACATCCACGGCGAGTTTAGTGACTCCTTTTAGCAACTGGTTTTCAGTGCAATTTCACCCAAATAAGCACAAAGTCATTTAAAATGGTTTTTAGAATGATTCATTTACAATTCCGAAAATGCTCTCAAAGCTAGAAATAATTTAAACTTAGGAGGAAATAAAATACTATAAATAAAAATACAGAAAAAACTGAAATTTCAATCGAAAAATACTCACTTGTTGTACCAAAAAGTCAGCGAATCCGATTGTTTATCTACAAAAAAGGAAGGCGGTTAGCAAAAGTTGCTGCAAAGGATTCTCGTTAGGCATAAAAAGTTAGGGGCTGGCATTACATAATTCGCATTACAACGGGTTTCCTATGAAAATAAAATCTTCTTGCATCAAGAATAAACAGCAGGAAAAATCTACCACAATTCTTTATACCTTGATTGCAATAAAGCAAATTCAGTTTCCTTTTAGCAAAAAACCACGAGAAGAGGTAAAAATTTGCCGTTCCCGGCGGGGGTCTAGCAGTAAGCAGCTGGTATTTAAAGGCCGGTTTTTAGTGGAATCTCATCGAAATGAGCACAAAATCATTTGAAATAAGTAATATCCAAAACACGTAAGAAGAATAACGCTTACTTGTATTCGCATGCCATCGATTCTGATGCCAGTTAAGAACGGGAACAACCAGCTGCCATTGCAAAACCAAATATCAGGCAGCAGCGCGTGTACCGTACATAGCTACTAAAATGAAAAGGAAGATCGTCAAAAGCACGAATTACATGGTAGCTGTAGCTGTAGCTGTAGCTGTAGCTGTAGCTGTAGCTGTAGCTGTAGCTGTAGCTGTAGCTGTAGCTGTAGCTGTAGCTGTAGCTACAGAAAAGGACCATCGAGGACCGCTTTGAGTTCGAAAAGGAAAGCCAGACAGCAGTGCACGTAGATTTATCCAATTCCAAATCACTGAAATCATCGGCACACAGTAGATTCTTTGTGGAAAGCAAAACGAATTTGAAAAGCCTCCGTTCAAATTGAAGGGTTTCTGGAGGAAGAAGTTTTGAAACCTTTTGTAGAGAGCAAGAGAAAAGAGAGAGAAAGAACCTTTAGAAAGGCAGGACAAAGACCGCGGAAAGCGCTAATCGTGATCGAGAGGATTTCGAACAAACCCGGGAGAAAACCGTAAATATCTCAGGAACATAAACGGAAAGGAGAAAAAGGAGACCGTAGGATGGTGAACCAATGATCGAGGATGAAGGGGAAAAAGGAATTTTGAAAATCAGCCGAGCAGTTTTGGCTGGAATCCCTCTTAATCGCCGGGCAGTGGGGACCTTTTGTTCGGGGTTAATTTGCATATACGAATTTTAGTTATAGTGACTAGCTCCCCTACGAAGCCCGCTACGCGGGCTTGCCAGTGACCCTACGGTAGAGTACATAGATTAGCCTCGGAAAAGACAAGAATTTTCTTAAAACCCCCTGTGAATGATAGTAAAATTAGCCTCGGTAAAGACAAGAATTCTTTCAAAGCCCCCAATGAGTATGCAGATTAGCCTCGGAAAAGACAAGAGGTGTATCAACCTCGATTTGAAAAAAATTAGCTCCGCACAGGTCACGTGATAAAAAATTACTCGCACTCCTGTGACTATCGCTAGTCAGGGGGTCGCCTGAAATAGAGAAGGGTAGAGGCTCCCCCCTTCCTAGCGATAGTCACAGGAGTGCGAGTAATTTTTTATCACGTGACCTGTGCGGAGCTAATTTTTTCAAATCGAGGTTGATACACCTCTTGTCTTTTCCGAGGCTAATCTGCATACTCATTGGGGGCTTCGAAAGAATTCTTGTCTTTACCGAGGCTAATTTTACTATCATTCACAGGGGGTTTTAAGAAAATTCTTGTCTTTTCTGAGGCTAATCTATGTACTCTACGGTAGGGTCACTGGCAAGCCCGCGTAGCGGTCTTCGTAGGGGAGCTAGTCTTCCGTTAATTGAAAGTTGCTTCAAAACATTTGCAAGCCCAGGTCTATTCGTGTTCCTCGTTTAAATATTTTAATTGGTTACCCCCTAAGTCTCCTGTTTTAATTTTCCATAAAATTTATGTTAAGACTTCCCAACTTTACTTTTCTGTTTACTCCTCTCACAAATCAAATTAAAATTGAATCTATCCTGAAAATCAGAATAAAAAACAATGCCCTCCTACATTATTTCAATTTAATAAGGAATGCAAGCAAAAAGTATAATATCATACAGCAAGCAGGCAAGCACATTCTAAACATGACAAAAGACAAACATAATTAATCCAATCCATAGTCACGCCTACTGTGAGTAGCATATACTATTGGCAAGAGCAGGAAATAATTGCTCGAGGACAAATTATTATTTACTTGCAGCAACAACCCTATTGAGATAAGAGCTTTTTTCCTGTAGGAAGGTAATGCTTTATTACCTTGATTGTAATTCAGTGAATCGTTGTAGAAAAGTAAAACCCAAACTTAATTACTTGCTGGCTCCAGATACCCATACTTGCGAAATTCTTAATAGAATCAATCCAATAAGTAGTTCCTTGATTATTATGATTACCAATTAGCAATATCATAGCTTTCATCACCATCTGAACTCCTTTGAAATCGAGGTTAATAGCACTCTTGTCTTTCAGTGGCTAATCTTACTATTCCATTTTGAGGCCATAGGGTGCCCGCAGAGCGAGATTGACTTGGAGCTACTCTTCCATTCATTGAAATGTACATATCAATTTGATACTTAAACGGTTGCAATATCGAGGCAAGACAGAAAGTTTCTAGAATACATTTTGTAAGCCACGATCTATTTGTGGTCCTTGTTTAAATATTTTCACGGGTTACCCTCTTTATTTTTCCTGCTGATTCTAATTGTAATGTTTTAAAGTTTCCATCCTATTTTATCTCTCGGCGAATTGTGATGCTGAAAGCTTTGTTAATTATTCTGAATTCTACTTTAAACTTGACAGCAACATGCTTCTGCCAGCCCCATCAATTCTTTATCCTCGTTGACACATTTTCATTGGTTACTCCTAGAAGTTCTCCTTTTTAGTCAGAATCAAATTTTTAAGTTTTTCAATCATACACTCTTAGCCCTCGTTGACTTATAGGGCGCTTATAAATGTTTTCTAAGGCCATTTTTGAATCAAACATTAAAGTTTTCATACAATAAGTTCCTGGGGAGCTTTTAGATATATATCATCTAAAATTTTCTTAAGCATCAAAATTCCTAAAAAATTATGTCTATTCATAAAAAATTTAATGACTCCTCTTCTAAACTCGAAAGATTTATAAAGTTATTACTCAGTTAATCTTTACATTTGAGGTCCACATATCATATCTTCGTCGCAATTAGTTTTTGAAACACTGCAGGAACAAAGCATTTAGGAAATGGAAAGATAGAAAAAAGCCAAGTTTCGTGCATCAGAAAGGAATCTTACTCTAACAACAAATTAACAAAAGACAATTTACGGACAACAGCTAATCTATATTATATAACTTTAGTCCTTTTCTCCACAGTCAAGTTTTTTCTTGTTTCATCATTTGATTTAACGCCAGCATAAATGACATAAATTTCGTTTCGAAGGTCTGAGAATCATGTCTGCGTCATAATTATTGCTTGAAACGATCTTTGATCTAGATGAAGAACAAAAAGATTAATGAAGATGTTATTCCATGGTTAATGACAGCATGGTTAATGAGAAAAACGTTCGTGGTGGGTCTAGCGACTCCTTTCAGCAACCGATTTTTAGTGTAATTTCACCCAAATAAGCATAAAATCATTTGAAAATGTTCTCGTTAAGCGAGCAATACAGCAAATCCATTTTCCTTGAATTACAAAACTGCGAAGAGGTAAAACATTAAGAGAAAAACGTTCGTGGTGGGTCTAGCGACTCCTTTCAGCAACCGATTTTTAGTGTAATTTCACTCAAATAAGCATAAAATCATTTGGAATTGTTCTCGTTAAGCGAGCAATACAGCAAATCCATTTTCCATGAATTACAAAACTGCGAAGAGGTAAAACATTAAGAGAAAAACGTTCGTGGCGGCTGTAGCGACTCCTTTCAGCAACCGGTTTTTAGTGTAATTTCACCCAAATAAGCATAAAGTCATTTGAAAAGGTTTCTAGAATGATTAATTTACAATTCCGAAAATGATGCAGGCACAATCTACCGTAACAATCCAGCTTCCTTTCAGTAAAAAACTACGAAATGAGGTAGAAATTCGCCGTTCGCGGCGGGGGTCTAGCAGTAAACGACCGGTTTTTAGTGTAATTTCATCAAATTAAGCATAAAATCATTTGAAATTGTTCTCGTTAAGCGAGCAATACAGCAAATCCATTTTCCTTGAATTACAAAACTGCGAAGAGGTAAAACATTAAGAGAAAAACGTTCGTGGCAGGTCTAGCGACTCCTTTCAGCAACCGGTTTTTAGTGTAATTTCACCCAAATAAGCATAAAGTCATTTGAAATGGTTTCTAGAATGATTAATTTACAATTCCGAAAATGATGCGGGCACAATCTACCGTAACAATCCAGCTTTTTTTCAGTACAAAACCACGAAATGAGGTAGAAATTCGCCGTTCGCGGCGGGGGTCTAGCAGTAAGCGACCGGTTTTTAGTGTAATTTCATCAAATTAAGCATAAAGTCATTTGAAATGGCTTCCAGAATGATTTATTTACAATTCCCAAAATGCTCTCAAAAAGCTAGAACTAATTTTAACTCAAGGGGCAGGCAAATCCCTTTTTTCACAGCAGGAAATCGTACAAAAAGTGAAATTTTAATCGAAAAATACTCACTTCTTGTACCAAAAAGTCAGCGAATCCGATCGTTTATCTACAAAAAAGGAAGGCGGTTGGGAAAAGTTGCTGCAAAGGATTCTCGATAGGCATAAAAAGTTGGGGGCTGGCGGGATTACATAATTCGTATTACAACGGGTTTCCTATGAAAATCAAATCTTCTTGCATCAAGAATAAACAGCAGGAAAAATCTACCACAATTCTTCATACTTTTAAAGCCAATCCAGTTTCCTTTTAGCACAAAACCACGAGAAGAGGTAAAAAATTTTCGTTTGCGACGGGGTTCTAGCAGCTGGTTTTTAGTGCAATTTTATCCAAATGAGCAGAGAATCATGTCAAATAATTTAAATTTCGAAAACAGGTAAGAACAACAATGCTTACTTGTATTCGCATGCCATCGATTCTGATGCCAGTGAAGAAGGGGAACAGCCAGCAGCCATCGCAGAACCCAAAAAACGGGCAGCAGCGGGTGTACGTAGCTAATAAAACGAAGAAAAGGAAAATCGTCAAAAGCACGAATTACATGGCACTTGCAAACGAAATAATAACAAACAGGGTTTCAATGGATCAATCGATCGATCGATAAAAAGGAAAGGAACATAGCTAGCGAGAATGTTTATAATAAAAAGCTAGCAAGACTCACCTGTAGCTGTAGCTGTAGCACTATAGCACTGTAGCACAGAACACGACCGTCGACAACCGCTTCAAGTTCGAAAAGGAATGCCAAGCAGCAGTGCACGTAGATTTATCCAATTCCAAATCACCGAAATTATCGGCACACAGTAGCTTCTTTGTGGAAAGCAAAACGGATTTGAAAAGCCTCCGTTCAAATTGAAGGGTTGCTGGAGGAAGAAGTTTTGAAATCTTTTGTAGAGAGGAAGAGAAATGAGAGAGAAAGGACCTTTAGAAAGGCGGGACAAAGACCTTGGAGAGCACTAATCGAGATCGAGAGGATTAGAGCGATTTTGGAACGAACCCGGGAGAAAACGTACAAATATCCATAAAAAAGGGAGGAAAAACGAAAAATAGAAACCCCTCGAGCAAAAGTTTGAGGATCCAGGACGAAGTGGAAAAAAGAATTTGGAAAATCAGCCGAGCGGTTTTGGCTGGTAAGCGTCTCCAAGATCGAGCGGTGTCTTTTGAACCACTATGCGATTTTGACCCAGGGATCCGCTGGAGCATTGTGTTTGAATTTTTTGGCTTTTGTTGTTGAGAGTCTTTTTATGTGGGTTTTAAGCTGCAACAGGGAGAGGAACAAATAAAAATAACAATATATGGCATCTACTTATTGCTTCCCTTCCTTCAACTTCACTTCCTTTTTACTCTTATGCCATGTATCAATGGAATGAGACAGATGTTCAATTTCTGGATAAATACCTGAACAATTTTGGTGAATAGACTTACACACAGTTACAATTTTGTCGATTACCACAATTTGGTCGTCGGCAAAATTACCACAACCCCCTTATGCCTTGACTTTATTAATGACCATTTGTAATGCAACAAACTGGTTTATAAATAACAATTAAAAAAATAAGATATTTTATTGGCTGCAGATTCTTTTTTCTCCCATTTATCCACTTTTGCATGTCCAAAACAGCACCTTTTCACTCTCCATTACAACATAGCTGCAGTACCTTGCACAATGCCCAGGTGAATCACTGCTACAATCACCTAAAATGCATAATTCTGTATCCCCAAATACTCTCGAGCAAGTAGCATTAATTTGTTTCCAAAAGTCAAATACTGTTGGTGCAACAAAATGTTTTTGAGAATTCAAGAATGATTGTTCCCCAGGGATCCTGATGTTTTACGGCTTAACATAGGAGAGAAAACTTTGAATAATTGTTGCCTGTCAAAACTACAGCTGCAGGAATCATTATATCATTGACATATATGTTGTTGTTTTTAACTATAAACTTTAATTATTTAGTACTTATAAAGATCTCCAGATTCTCCTGTGGCTATTTTTTGCATGACTATGATAACAATAGGACTGATGTTTTTCCAAACTCAGAACTATATATTCTCATGTCCATTTGTTGTTATTAAACATGCAAAAAGTTATATCAATCACTGAGGAACAAAACTGAAAGACTCCAAAACAAACTATATTTACAGTTACTACGATGCTCTTTTTCCCACACCCCCTATTATGAAAGCTATGCACAGAGCCAGCTACCAAAATTTAGAGTTAAAGATTCACATCCTATTGCAGACCTGCCAACTCTCACGGTTTTGCCGTGTGTCTCACGGTTTTGGCCTCAATCTCACGTTCACACGAATTTTTGTTCATTTCACACAGTTTTTCAAAAACTTATTTTCAATTTACCAATGCAGCGATTTTCAAGATGTTTAGATTTTATTCAGCTTTTCCCCTGCAAATTTTATGCATGATTTTATGTACAATTTCCCTCTTCTGTGTTATCGTTCTTGAATCACATCACAGCGCTGCTGACATCGCTGGTTGGCTTAGAATAACTCCCTCGGCCCCATGTCCTGCTTCTAGCTCCTATGTTTGCATGCAAACGAGAACCACTGATTCCAAGAATCAGTGGGGAATCAGTGGTTCCCTGTTATAAATGGCAACCAGAAGAAGAAGTTTTGAAGAATGCAAAAAAGCAACTTTGTACTATAACAGAAAATGTTTGTGAAAACTGTTTAAGTTATAGTATACAGGATACAGTTTTACAGTAACAGCAATGAGTGTATGGGTAAATCTTGCTATTTTTGGTGAAAAAGTTCGCCACGCAAAATCTTCAGGTTTTTAGCAAAATCTCCAGATTTTAATAAAGAAAAATTTCGAATATCCAGATTTTTAAGCTTGGGAGGTTGGCAGGTATGCTTTTGCGTCTGTGGGAATTGACTCTGCAGGAGCTCTATTCGTGAGAAATTCGTCTGGCTTCACTAAGAAAGTATATTTAGCTCTCTTTACATGCGGTAGTACCAGAGCGGTGCATCTGGAGCTAGTCTCTGATATCAGCATGAAATTGTTCCTATTTTGCTTCAGAATATTCGCAAGTCGTGGTGGAACACCAGAATTTATCATTAAGGACAACGCAAAAACGTTTATAGCATTTTCAAAAACGTTTAGGAGAATCCTGAAATCAACAGAGGCACAAGCACTTCTCGTGCAGTGGAGAGTCACTTGGAAATTTAACCTCTCAAAGGCTCCTTGGTGGGGTGGCTTCTATGAAAAGACAAGCTATACATGAGAATAATACGGATTTCAACCGTGCTACAGAGAAGCACTTCACCTCGACTGCGCGCTTACTTTCCCTGAACTGCAGATCGTGCCACGGTGAGGCAGCTACACAGAGTACGGTCCTCACAACCCACCGGTAGATCAAAGCCTAAGCTAAGAAAATGTTCTCGCTGCCTTGAACTTCAATCTAGGCGGGGAGTTTTGTGTGTAGTTGGCGCTGCATGCCGCTTATGAATAAAAAGAGCGCGAAAAAATAGTTTATTGATTACAATCACCTTTGAGTTGATATTCAATTGCACCTTTGCATACTTATTGTTTCGGTGTGGAAGTTTGTTTGTTTGTCAGATGTTTTTAAGTTGGATTTAAGTATTAAATGTGTTTCATCCTGCTATCAGCGTGTTTACTGTGGTCTGGACAAAACGCCAAAAACGGAATCAACTTGACCACTAATAAATTCCTTCAAAGATACAACAGCACAAAATCATCGCTACAAGTCATGCTTTAAATGATTTATATATATATTTCCCAAAATCTTCCAGGCAGACTACAGAACAAATTGTTGAATTTGCAAGGTCCATATCAACGTCGAAAGCTTGTACCTTGTTTTTTCTGAACCAAAACATCGAGGTAAGAAATAAAAAGTTCTCTGGGTACTCAAAGATAACAATGGTTATCTGTTACTTGCCTTCTAATAAGTGGAACTATACCAGAGAAAATGTTGTTTGATAAAAGAATAATCCATAATTGCGATACAAAAATTAATGTGTTGAATTTAAATGTCAACCATTGTAAGTGCAATAAGAGTTGGTGACCAGGCGGTGTTTCTTCTTTCGTGGAGGTTTGGGAGAATGTGGCGAATTTTTTACGTTGGATGACAGGAACCGATTTGATTGAGGAGGTATTAAAGCGATTGGTTTTTTCGTGAGCATTCCAGTGAATCGAGTGCTGCGAGCGTGTTGAGCACTAACGGTGAGTTCGAGGCTGCGATGCGTGGTGGCCATACGGAGCATCAAGTCGCATCGTGTTATTGTTTGCTCAAGATTATGAATAAGAGACCAAGATGCGAGAAGTTGGATGTGGAAACTGAGAGCATGCGTGGTGTGATGCTGGGGCCAAGTCTATGCAGTGCATTTGTGTACTGATTCCATTGCTGTATTGATTGTAGATAATCCAGTGAGTTTCGGCTGAGTTTTATGATGACGGTCCGG